TTAAAATTTATCATTTTCTTACAAATTAAAAATTAAAATTCTTGATATCCTGATTGGGATATAGATTTTCTTCATATCCCAATCGGGATATCGAATTATATCCTGATCGGGATATAATTTCAAACTAAAATCCCGTTCGGAGTATAAAAAAAATTTTGCTGCAAAAAATGATATCCCATGGATGTACTGATCGGGATAAATCCCGATTGGGATATATCTCCACACTGTCAGTGGTCACTGACATTCCTTCCTTTTTCTGCTTTTGCTATTAATTTCTCATGCCTTCCTGTGACATCATTGTTTATATTACATCATGCTTTTTTGCTTCTTTGAATTGTTTCTTGCATTATTCACATATCAGATCCAGATTCCTCTTAGTTTCATTTTTTCCGTACAAGTTTTCTCTGTGTAGCATATGATATTTCTTATTTAATTAACGATACGAATGTTTAGCGTGATGTATTTATTTTCTAGCTTTTATATTTTTAAACTGTAAGGTGTCATGAGAAGGGACATATATGAGAGATTCGCACAGATATAGCTGTGTTAAGCATTTAAGTATGAAGAAATGTGATTTACACACACATTTATACACACTTTAGCTAAAGAATCCGATGAAGTACAGGATGTACACACTTATACGAAAGTGATATGGTAATAACATAAGATAAAATCTTATTTGCTTGTGAGAGAAAATGAGCAAAAATGATAATTATATCTCTCCTCGATGGTAATCTCAGGCCATTACTTTGATATCCTGCCGAACAGTTTCCTATAACCCCGGCAGTAGAAAAATTGTCCTAAAAACATTTTTGGCTGAAATCTACCGTGATACCATACTTTAAAGCAAGGATATATTTGATGAGAAAATTTTGCTTATGATCGTCAACAGAGAGTAATATCTCACATTCAACTGTCATATCCACATTCTATTGTCTGTTCTAACTGCTTCCCATATGGTAAATGTCGGCTGGAAATCGGTGACAACGCGGCCGACATGTTAGTCGATCATATCGTGAGAACTCGCCGACTTTTCGGCCAGTTTTATGTGTTTGAGTGTTTTTGAGACGACAAATCGCGACATATCAGCGATTGTTTTGTTTCGTTCCTTGTAATTCACAGGTACCAGATCCAAATCTACCTGGTCAAAAAAATATGTTTTCCGTCAAACTCTGCGCTAATTATATATTTTATTCACTATGCAAAACAAAATGATGAATGGAAAACCGATTAGTTATCCACTCAAACGACTTTTCAAAAAATTCAAAATTGACGAAAAATCGAGACATTATAAAAAATCGATCACTTTTCACGACTAATCGACGAATTTTAAGAAAACCGCGATATGCTGTCGACTTTTAAGCGTATCGCGACCTGCCATCAAAATTTAAGCGACTTCCTTCATATTTTTGCATACCTGCGCCTATGCCACAGTATATTGCTAAATCTAATCCTAACTTTTACAAAAGGAATAGAGTTGAAACAGATATGATCGAGCGAGATACCAAATAAATCTAGTATTGTGTTTTTTTATTTTGTTTTTTAATGTTTTTATGAAAGTAATATCTCTCAAATGTGAACAAACATTGCTTTACTCCAAATATTTGTCATGATCAGTATGAAATATATTCAGGAAGCAGAAAAGTTTATCAACGGAAAGTTTATTCTTTTGGAGAAAAGTATTTTGTTATCACAAAGTTGAGACGTGATTAAAACATTTGCAAAAATGTTCTATACAATATGTACTACAAAAAATAAACAAATAAAAACACTGAGAACGACGAGTTCATCTACGAAAAATCGTAGTTATCTGTTTGAAAAATTAATATTATCTTCACTGCAAATACTTGTATTATAATTGTGGTGGTACTGACTGTGGGCGTTCTCTGAAACGCGTTGATGGCGGCACTTGAGATAAAGTTTTCCTCATTGAACTACCTCGATCTTTTATGTAATTATCGACACCTTGATATTTTACTTTAGGATTCGCACGAGCTGATTGTGGCAAACGTCCGTATTGATGAAACAATAGATCAACATTACGACCTTGACTTCGATCATAATTTTCAACAGCTTGATCTCCTTTCAAACCTAAACCTGATTCACATCTTGGCATAGTCGGGGCGTTCGGATCGTTGTTTGTGATTAAAAATGAATCACCTTGTCCTTTTATTCGATTTTCGGTAGCCGCAGCGCCTTTAACATTTGGTACTGGACGGGGACTCGGTAATGCACGTCCATAATCATTAATTATTTGTCCCATTGAACCTTGGTTATTTGAATAAAACATACGAGTAGCGAACTAATGCAAAAAATTTCCTGTGTTTAGATAAATAGTTGAAAAAGTTTAATACTTACTTCGCCTTTGGTATTCGGAACTCGGCGGTCCGAAATTGGTAATTTTCCATAGTTCTGAAGTAACGTTTTTAGTGAAGCATCATGATTTTTTTCATAATTTGCTCGTCCTTCTTTTTTTACGCGTAAGCCTTGATGTGGATTAGGTGGGTCGAGATAACCGGTTAACAGATTTGCTGTTGAACCTGAAATAATACTAGTTTAATTACCTTACGAATTAAAATATATGAATAGTTCTAAGTACTAGTGTTACGCAGGCCAGCCAATATTGTAATCGCTGTCTATGAGTGGATCTTCTAATCAATTACATTTAACATGAGAAACAAACAGATAAGTTTTACCCATGTTTTTGCCCTACTAAGATGTGCATATAGACGCCCTAGTCGAGACTCCCGACAAAACTCCCACGGTACTTTATGTTTGAAAAATCATAACTAACCTCGACTTTTAGTATAATTGAGAGTTGCATCGATTCCAAATACTTTCGGCGGTGCTGGAGGTGGTAACCGGGCACTTGCATTCGGTTGACGCCCTTCAGTTTCCCAATCTCCAATGTTAAGACTACCTCTATTTTTCACGTAATTGTTGATTCCTTCGCGTCTTACTCTAAGTGGCGCTTCATAATCAGGATAAACTACGACGGGTGCTTCATTTGTCAACACCCAATTACCTCCTGTAGTGGTATAATTATTGGAAAGTAAACTGGATACCATCTAAAAGAGCAAGAACCTTTCCTCAATTTTATATATTAAGTGCTAAATGCTCTCCTCTTACACTTTCAGGTCGGTTTGCCTAATATAGTCTCCTAATGAACGCCGAAACAAGTCCGAAGTTACTATAAGACTCACTTTACAATCGTAGTTGACTTAATTTGCTTATTAGGTTAGGATTATCGATATTATAATTTTATAGCTTTAGCCATTACAGAAGTCTTATTCTTTAAAGTGCTAAGCAACAAGTACCATTTCATTATTCGAATTTCAAGTGTCATGCAGGCATATGCTGTTCTGTGCCCTTCATATAGCGCCAAGTACATCAGTTACAGAACACTGAGTGAGGAGGACAGACCAGCGTACGCGATTGGTCAAACCAGAGATAGCGAAGCTGCTAACTCTTATTCATCTTACCTTAAACCGAAGAGTAGAGATATAATTTGATTTGATAGAGCAATGTATATTCACCATAATATGCACACAATACAAGAGCAGCGAGAAAAAAGACACTCGTGTACGCTAGGCGCGATACAATAATGTTAATGTGAAACCGCGTTGCTCTTAACGCTGTATGTGTAGTGTATCTTAACCAAAAAGAGATGGAAGCCTAGAGTACGATGGGACTAAAAAAGTAGGTTTTGACTCAGCCCTATCGCAAATTCCGGTTTAATATAAACGATATTTTCTTTCGTTGAATGGAACGTTTTTGAAGTTATTAAAGGTTATTCAACACGGTCCGTAAAATCGGTTTACGACGCCGTAAACTAGCGTATTATGGCCATAAACGGTGTCGTAAAAGGTTGTTTAAGGCTGCAGTGTTACGGAGCATAGGATTGAGTCAAGTTACGGCGTGTTACGTTACAGTACCCGGTCGTAATTCGCCGTATATGGCCATCTTAAGAGCCCCCCAGCGACAAAAACTTTTTTATTTCACATCCGATTTCGACGACGCTTACAGAAATTAATGCTTACTATGAACATAACTTATGCTAAAAAGTTGAGCTGGAAACGTTGAAGCGTTGGCGTGTTATTGCGTGACAAAGGACAAAATGGGGCTCTTAGCAAAAATGTATAGCCTTTGTTGGTAGAAAGAGCAGAAAGCTGCGGGCGGTCTTAAATAAAAATAGACACCTAAATCTAAAATTTGTCCGTAGCGTTTTTTGAATTTCGCTTCCCTTCATTCTCTATGTATGTTTGAAATCAAAGCTCTGAAAATAACCCTAATTCGGCGGAGTATTTGCCACATATCTCTGCAAAGAAAACGGCATTCAAAAATCGCTACGGACAAAATTTAGATAAATGTCCTAGCTTCAAAATAATGAACAAGAACGAAGGTTGTACGATGACTCGTTTATGAGGGGATACAATTTTTCTCCGCTAAAACCATGTTTTAAGAAATACGTTAAACAAGATTGAAGAGCATAGTGACATCAGATCTTAGATTTAATATAGGAGTGTGATACATATATATGAAGCAAAAAGAAAGTCTTTCTTTTACTCTCATAGAGGTTATTTTATCGATAGAAAACCTAATGAATATCTGACAAAAGTAGCAGATATTATGATTAACGAATAGCACACTAAGTAAACATCTTTACTACTGAAAGCTACGCGATTTTTTATCCACAGGAACTAAGGAAAAACAGCTAAAAAATGACTGATAACCGAAGTGGCTAACAGAAAACCAATGACCCGAGCGTTTTTTCAGCATTGTTCCCATTGTAACTTACACGGTGCACTCATGGCGGGACTTGCGTCACGAGTCCGGTGTGAAGGCTCACTTGAGTTACTTTGTCTAATTACAATATTGCATTTTGGGGCTTTCTTGCTAAACAATTAAACATGAGTTTTTTAACCGACTCTGGCGGAAAGGTTTTAGTGTTTCTGTAGCAGCCAGAAAATAGAGTGTTGTGGCTTGGAAAGATACCGATCCGACAGATCGAGCTGTGTACGAGACTGGTTGCATTATGCCGGGAATCGGTTATCAATCATTTGAGATTAAGTGCAATCTATGTCAAATTGGTATATGATTTTGATTTTACCGCAGGTAGTCTACACAATTTTCTAGAAGTGCCATCACTTAAAGTTCTCCTCTTAATTTCATTTGTTATTGAAAACTTACGGCATTTCGTGTAGAAAATAAACAAACATACAATTATGTGATGAAAAATCAAGCATATCACCGGATCGAAAAATTTCAAAAGCTTGTTCGATCGAAACCGATTGCAGATTCGTTTTCTCCATGATTGATTATGTGGTACGTAATAACTTTTGGATCGGGGTACTTTAGAAAACATTTTTCCATGGTCTTGCTCAAAAATTTTTCAAAATGTTACCGTATGGGACCAAAGACAAAACGATGTCGAAAATTTTTTCTAAAGTACCCCAATCCAGAAGTTATCGCGTACCACATAATCAACCATGGAGAAGACGAATCTGCAATCGGTTTTGACCGAATAAGGTTTTAAAATTTTTCGATCCGGTGATATGGAAATAAACCTGTATCTAGTGCTGAAGATGCGTGTATTTTTCGATCCATCATTACCTCATAGAGAAAAGCGACTAACTTCTTGAAAGTGCGCGCTCATTTTTTGGGACTTATTACATTTAAATTAAAGTAAATATCGAAAGAAGAATTTCAGATCATTCATCTAGATTATTAAGATACTGAAACATCTTCTTGAATGCCTGTTCAGACATTAGCGAGAACAAGTGGCCGGTTCGAGAGAGAAGCACAGTATAAAAAGAAAATGAAACAAAAAGTCTCCGTTCGCTTCATCCAGTAGACTTAAAGTGTAAAGTTGTTCTATGTATCCCAATTCAACGGTATAAGTTTGAAAGAAATTTTTTTGAACAATCAAATAAAATAGAAAATTGACATCATCATCATTAGTAGTACAGTAGTTCATCCGTCTCTCAATATGTGTGATAAAGTTTTGATTGAACAGTATATTCAGTTCATTGAAGCACACAGTATTATTTTGAATAGTCATTTATATTTCACTCAGACGTATCTAATGGATAGACGAGACATTTTTGGTTTCCATTTCAAATGTATTACGTATGCATGTACAAAATAAAGAATTCACATTACACTAGAGTTTAGTGTACTACGAAAATTTAGGCTTTATTGAAAAATGACTTTCTAAGCATGAAAGGATCGATAGGTAACATAACTGCTTTTTGTTCGGTTATCTTATGCGGCTTAATTTTAACGAACCAATTTAAATTTTGTGCACTTTTTTCTAATGTTGGAGTTTTTGAAAGTTGAAATTAACAGTTTTATTTGTTTTTCTTGAAAGTTAAAAAAACTTATACATCGTATTATTAATCATCCATTCTCAAGTATATGATTTTGTTTACTTATAAATTCGTTTATTTTTTCTTCTTCACAATATGCATGTACAAATCTCAACCGAATGGATGCTCTATATTGCAGAGAATCACGCTTTTTATTTTCTTTATATGCCTATATGAACTATATATAGAGATTTTTTTTTTTTATGTGCGTAAAAATTGTTTGCCTCAGCCATATATATATACACATCCATTTCCTGTGTATAGAAAGCGATAAGTGTCGCACAAAAATTGTTTTTTCTGTTGTTTTCTTTCTCTTCGATTTTTCTCTTTTTCTTTCAATTTTAAGTCCCCTGCTAAACAACACGTGTTTATAATGCAGTTGACGTGCATGTATGCACGAAAACATGCGACAACTTCTATATGTTTTTAGCTAATAATAATATTGCCTGTCTACGCTATTTAACATGTATCAGTTCTTTCAACGATAGTCCATCGACGAATTTGGATATTTTTATTGAAAGGTATAAAGAAAATTGCAATAGTTAGTGATAGAAAAGCTAAGTTCTTTAAGCGAAAAGATATTTTTGACTATTAAGAATGCATCACTAAATACGATGAACAAAAAACAATTTTATTTACTTGTTAAGATTGTATTCAGATTTATTATCTAAACTATACATCTTCAAAACAACTTGATTTTTGGTTTTTTGCAAGTATGTATAAAAGACAACATTTTTACTTTTAAAATTTCTTTCGAATATTAATGCGATTCTGAAATCATATGGATAGCTCTTGTGAGACTATTTTGTTGCACATATTTAATTTCATTTATTCCATCTAATAAAGACTCTGATACTCTTTTCAGCTACGAACTAGTGATGCACTTGTATTAGATACCTTTGGGAAATTTTTTTCGTTTTCTATATAATTACTTCTACGTGTCTTTTTTTGATTGATTTATGTAAATCAATTACCTGTAAAACAGTTGACAATCAGAACAGACCTTTGTTTGAATAAGAATTTGTTTTTTTAATTGTGCACATATTTCTGAATTTTACACACACCTGACATAGATATCAACCTTTACCTGTTAAACTTGTGTATTTAGACCTTCTTTATTCTCTTCTTGTCCTTTAACGTCAGTACATGTTCAATAAATACTTGACGAACTGACTCAAATAATAACAATCATGCGCACAATGCGTGATCTGACTCATTCTTGTAAACTTTGCCCTAGACAGAAAGTCGTATAGTCACGTTTGAATAAATATGTATGAAGGTATGAAGAAAAGAATGAAATAAACAAAATTTTAATATTATTTAAATTGTAACTATAGTTTCATTATTGTACTTTAGTAGTAAAAAACAACGGATAAAACTGTTGGAACTTCTAACAACACATTTCACTGACTAGTTCTTCTAGTCATAAATAAATAAATTATTTTTACTTTTAGATTATTCATTGTATTTTCTTTATTATTTTTTATTTGAATTATTTTAAAATAAAAATATGGATTATCGTCATACAGATCCCGACTCGACAACATCGAGCTGGAATTCTAATAATCAAACATCTAATTATAATAACAATTCAAATTTGCATAGCAGTTTAAAAGATCGTGATGATGGCTATAGTGGTTTTAAAAAAAATGATAGTGATAATACTCATGATTATCATTCTGGATGGAGTAGTCAACATAATGAGAATAGTTATACCTACGAAAAACATCCATCGTCATCCACATCAAAATATGAGGAATCAACAAGTCGTTCATCATTAAGTGAAAATATGAATGTTAATAATCCAGTAGTAGCCAATGATTTGAAAAAAAAAGAACAGCAAGGAAAACAACACGCAGAAGACATCTTTACAAAAACAAAAAAAGTTTTACGTCAAAAATGTAAGTTTGACGTAAAAGTGTAGATGAAATAGATTTTAATTTCATCAGAAAATTTTTTATTTCATAACTTAATATTTACTTTACATTGTCTAAAACAAAAATATTTACAAAGAGAAATTTAATAGGTATAAAAAATGATTAATTTTACATTTTTATCGTCAACTTTAGAAGAATACTGATTTTAAAGACTTTTACCTAAATGACATGAGGTTTGATTCTTGTATTTCAGTCTTTGGTCATGTCTTATGTTACATACGTAAAAGAATGTGAAAAATTCCGTATTATTTATTTATTAGTCGATGTTTTTCAAGAATAGATAGAATTCGAAGAAGATTTGTGCTAAATACGAAGAACGATTTTTTTCTTCCAAACATATAATCTCAGCTGTATGTCAAAGTGTTAATGAATGACATATGACTAATTCGTGAGTAGAGGTGCTGGACTTATTTCTTCCTTTATATTATAAATCTCTTTTTCATTTCTACTAACTAGTATAAAAAGAAGAGTGTGATTTAGTTTTGTGGCTAGTCCTATGTGGCATAAATCTTCTGTGTGTGAGAGAGAGAACAAAAATATTAATGTTTTATTTTCTTCTAATTCTTATTTATCTATAGCGCAGTGAGGAAAAAAAAATGAGAAAGCAAGAAAATAAATTGCATTGTGGTTTTTCCTGCCTTTTATACTCCATGCGAAACATAGTAAATATAATGAAATTAGTTTTTCTTGTATTTATAGTCTTATTGAATGAATGACTGAGTGACAGTAATGTTTTTCCGTACAGAATGAAAAAGAAATGGTTTATTATATAGTTTTTCCGACGTCGAGTTTTTAAAAAAAGAACCTTCGACGTTCCAAACATAAGAACAAAGAATTCTGGACGGAGAGAAAAATATTAGTCCCTTTTTGTTAATGAGTCGACGGATGTATATATACATATATATATTACTACTTTTAAAATCGTCTAAGAAAAGAAAGATCTATCGTTTTTGCTATTTTATGACGTGACATACAATGAACACAGGTATATATGACAGAGGAAAAATATAGAAAGGATTATATAGGATCATATATTCGATAATATATGTATCCAATTCTTCTTATTCTGGATCGATTTTAGCTGAATGATATTTATGTAAAACAAAGAGATACAGAAAATATTAATTGTCTCGAACTGATGGATCAATAAAACATTTTCATGATCTGACGACTCTCTTATTGGGTTTCAGGTGTCACTGAAAACAGCTCTTGCTTCTAAAGTTGTCTTTAAACATAGTCTAAATATTATATCATTCATTTACAATCCATAGAATAATCAGATAAATTTTTATGTAAAAGTTATATTTCCAGTTTTTGTGACTTCAATATGCATTAATAGATAACTGAAAAAGCGTTAATACATCGATTGTTCTTGAAACACTTATGAATGGTCTTAAAATTTATTCTGATTGAGTATTGGAAATTATCATGTAAATTTGGATGTTTTTTCTTTTTCAGGGGGACAGACTCTGCAAACTGTTCAGCAAGTGAATAAAAAAGTTGTTTCAATGGCTCCTCCAGGCGGTAATTTGTTTTTTCAGATGAAGATTTTTGTTATCAACCTTATACATTGTGTTTAAATTATAGGAAAAGATCTTATCTATTGGAAACGACCAATACATAGTGGGATGATATTTGGCACACTCTTATCACTAATAATTACATTTATGTTTTTATCATCACTTGCCGCTATCTCATTTTGGTTATTAGCACTCTTGATAATTATTGGCTTACATAAATTATACAATTATGTTATGATTACCTTTCTAGGACGTGAACATGAAGATATGTTCAAGTATGTAGATATTAAGGAAACTTCACTTTTAAAAGTTTGTCAATAGCAAGACACTTTGATCATAGTAATGAATATTTGATCTTGAAAGGACTAGTCTGATAATTGATGGAAGTACTACAGGAGATTGTTTGATTATACTTTTTAGTTCATTAGTTCCACCAGATGTAAATGTTTCCTTTGAAACAGCTCAATCTGTTTCAAATTTTGTTCGTATAAATGGGACAAAAACATTAAAAATGGCACGACATTTATTTTTATGGGAAAATTTGACGCAATCGCTTATTGTAAGTAAAAAAACAAAAACATCTTTTTCTCTTAAAAAATCTCTTTTGTAATTTTTTTTCCCTTGATTTTCATATTTTAGTTTGGTTTTGTTCTATTCGCATTTTTTTACATCGGTCTATCCATGAATGCATTAACACTCGCATTAGTGGGTAAGTTACCTTTCTTTTCACATTTAACAGTTTAAATTTGAAATAAATTTTTATTTAATAGTTTTAATATTCTCATTTACTGTTCCAAAAGTATATCAAGTTTATCAGGTATAGGAGTGGTATGAATCTTCATCATATACTAATTTATTTCTACTTTATGCACTATAGGCTCCGATTGATCGTACAGCAAAGAATAGTTTGGATAAAATGAATCAGCTATTAGCAACGTATGTTATTTATTAAAATTAATTTTTTTTTTATTATACATTTGTGAAAATGTTTTTACTTTTAGTATTACATCTAAATTACCAAGTGGTGCAAAAGCTAAAAAGCCTTAAAAATGTTATCTGGAGATAAAACTTAATTCATTAAACTTTGGTGTGTTTATTAAGCATTTTTTTTTTTTATTATTTTTGACATTTTATATGATGATGTTTAGGAGAGTAAGAATTGTGTATGAATGATCGTGATTTTTTTTTTTTCATTTTGCCCGTTCTTGTATAGAAATGCTGTGACCTTTTTTATCAAAAATGTGAACTATTTACACCAAACTAAACAAATTTACTACTTTTACATAGATATTCTGCCTTTTATGTCTTTGTTCGTTTGCGTATTGGTAGCTATCATTTATATATATATATATTTGTTCAACTCTATAACTGAATTTCCAACTCAGTATGTTTACTTCAACGACAACTATTTTTGTCGAAAAACAAAACAAGGAAATGTTCAATTTTTTCTTCTCTTTTTCTTTTTTTCCTTATTAGTAAAATCTTATATGTGTTGGTTTATAAACGCACACATACCACTTTGCTCTTGTGTCTTCTCATATTTTTAAAAAAATAAATGTTTATACAAAAATCAGAGTGGAGGGAAGGAGGAAATAACATCAGTGCATGTATGATTAATACATGGCTAAAGTTTTTATTATGCAAAGCATTTCACCTGAAGTTTTATTTGTTTTTAAAATTTTAAATAAACTAAAAAAATGCTAATTCTGAACATGTCCCATTTTTCGATTAATTTTAGCTTGTATTTGTCTATGTTAATTTTATCTCATCATTCTATAGCAGAACGAACGTATAAAAGTTATTATTATTATTATTCTAGTTTTGATCTGAATTTATTGAAACGTACGTTTTTGTCAAAATACGTTTCTTTTTTTGCAAGCTCTTTCTATGAGTGCGGTAACATCAGTTTTCTTCGAACAATCAATATCATTCTTTAAATGATTAATTTATTAAACGTTTCAAAATGCACAGATAGAAATTTGCTAAGAATAAACGTGTATGTGGACTGTGTAAGTGTAAGATATAATGAAGAATGAAAATTGTACAAAAATAGGTTGCATAATCGGACACTAGTTTAGAGAATCAATTAATTGATATTGAATTTTAAAATGTAGAAAAGAACGGTTACTGTCGTTGTCTATTCAACAATCACTTCCTACCAGATCTGAATGAAAAGTTAATTCTCTCATAAAAATGGCAAGACGTGGATATTTGTGATCTCTTAATTTGTAACACTTGTACAGAGAGAATGCGTGATAGTAATAACAAACATTCTTTTAATTCTTATTCCAGACGCACTGCTGATATGGCAGAAGTCAAATCAGATGATTTGGCACAACATATCACACTATTGAGTGTAGAGATACAGACGGCTCTAAAAAAGCTTGTCATTCCAAAAGTTCTTGTAATATACACTGGAGGTACTATTGGAATGAAAGTCAAAAATCGAGGTAAGACTCATTTTCTTATTCATTATTTGATAATTATCATTATTTGTTTCTATTTTTCTTGTTTAGTTTACATTCCAGTACCAAATTTTCTTCATTCAGCTCTACGTAGTATGAACATAATGCATAATACCGAATATGCTGACACTATCAATGATATCGAACCAAATAAAGAACTTTTATATTTGCCGTAGGTATTGCTTTTTATCACTTTCTGAATTAATATTTATTTTATTTTATTTTTATTTTATATCTATTTTAGATTAGCAAGTGACAGTGATTGTATTGCTTACTATATCTTAGAGTATACACCATTACTCGATTCATCAAACATGACAATTGACAATTACATTCAGATTGCCTTAGATGTTAAAGTAAATTAGCTTAGATAATATTAGAGTTCTAGTATTTTTATTACATAAATAAATTATCTTTTCAGGAATTATATAGTTTATTCGACGGATTTGTTATTTTACATGGAACGGATACAATGAGTTATACGGCGAGTGCATTATCGTTCATGTTTGAAAATTTATCAAAGCCAATTGTTCTAACCGGATCTCAAGTATTTAAAAATTATTTATACAAATAAAATAAATTATTTATTAAATATTTTTTTAAAAATAGATTCCAATATTTGAGACAAGATCAGATGGTCGTGACAATTTAATCGGCTCATTGATTATTGCAGGACAATATCGAATACCAGAAGTAGATGTAGAACAAAATGTTCTTTTCTAATTAAAATTGAAGATATCCGGATTCTAGGTAACCGTATATTTTCGTAATCGATTGTATAGAGGAAGTCGTGTAACAAAAACGGATTGTGAAGGATTGAATGCTTTTGAGTCATACAATTTTCCTCCGTTGGCAGAGTTTCGAACAAATGTACAAGGTAATTAATTAGTTTTGTTGAACAAAACTCTGAATTACATTGAAGATATTTTAGTTAAATGGGATCAAATATTTGACAAATCAAACGATGGTCCATTTAATGTTCATACAAATTTAAATCGAAATGTTAGCCTTCTTCGTTTATTTCCTGGTATCACCTATATTACAGTAAATACGAAGTTTAATTATTGTTCTTCTCATTACTAAAATTAATCTTTGACATCTCGTTAAGGTTAGACAATTTTTGGAGCCACCAATATTGGGTAAGTGTTAATTTTCTTGATGTTACTATATTAAAAATTAGTAAATTTTTAATAATTGATCCTATCTCAAAGGTGTCGTATTACAAACATATGGAGCTGGAAATATGCCATCAAATCGTCCAGATATTCTTGAAGAATTGCGTAAAGCAAGTGATCGAGGTATTATAATTGTTAATTGTACACAATGTAATAAAGGAAGTGTACAACATATTTATGATACGGCGACATATTTGAATAAAATTGGTGTTTGTCCCGGATATGATATGACCATAGAAGCGGCTCTGATGAAATTATCGTACGTACTGGGGAAAGGTTATGATCTTAAAACAATGAAAGTGCAAATGGCCGAAAGTTTACGAGGAGAAATGCAAGGAAAAGTAAAATGTCAGAAATTGGATATGAAGTTTTTCTTAAATGCTCCAATAACTCAAGATTTGATGCAGTCATGTAAAATGGAATCAAATGAGGTACGTTAGTTATACTTTTTTTGAATCAAAAAAATATTCATAACTATTTTTTTTCTCTTTAGGATGCTGCTAAATTTGGTCAAGCATTTTTACCATGGCTAATTGCGTCGGCTGCACAAACAGATGATATCGATTTTCTTTGTCGAATTCAAGAATCATTATCGACTAATGTCGGTTTAAATGTATTAATGCCATCAGGAAGTGCACCATTGCATGTAGCTGCCAGAAATAATTCGATCAAATGTGCCAGTTATTTTCTTCAACTTGGATATAATGTTAATGAACATGATCAATGTAATTATACACCATTGTATTATGCAGTTATTAATAATCATTTTGATATGATCGGATTATTTGTAAAACATGGAGGACACTTAGAATTGAAACCGAGTGAAGTCGGAATGTATATATGTAGTGCTGTGGCCGAAAATAATGTATTGAAACTACAAGCATGGCAATGTGCTGGAGCAGATTTAAATCAAACAGATTATGATGGCCGAACGGCAATTCATGTGGTATGTTAATTTTTCTTGCTTCAATTTCGACAATTATTTGTAAAGCGTATTGAATATGTGTTTTCTTTATTAGAGAAAATTTTTTAAAATCGTTTTCTTTTTATAGGCTATCAATCATAATTCCGTTGACTGTGTCCGTTATTTAGTTGAACATGGCGTGGATGTAGGATGTATCGATAGTCGTGGATATACACCACTCGAAATAGCTCGACAACGTGGCTATGATCAACTTGTTCAGTTATTATCTGAATACAGTGATAAATCAAAAAGTAATTTAAAGTAATTTTTTATTTGTTTTGTTTATTGACAGTATTAAGAGCATCTCAAACAAATCTTACAGTCCTATCTATTTTCTTTTATTCAGTACATCTATCTTGTTACCTATTTATTTTTATGCTCTCTATTTAGTTCTAAATATCTAGTCATTTCCTTCCGTTTTTTAATTTATGTTACAATAATATTTTAATGTAAGTTTATTTTAAGTAAAATAATTTTCAGTTTTTATTCACTGTTTTCTTTTTGTACAGTTCTTGTTCTACTGTAGCTACAGTTTGACCCAGTGGTAATATCGAGTGATCAATATTGTTGTCTTACTTTTAGAGATTGCTAATAAATGCCTATCTTTCATTTGACACTGTATGTCCTACGTCTCATCTGTTAACATCGATATTTGTAAATGTAACAATGAATGATGTAGATATTTCTATAGCCTACAGAGGATCAATCAGCAATGCTATGGTACTTTCATAAGGTAAAAGGCTGATGACTTTACTATTGGAACTATTTGAGATTGAATCTGATTTTTATCTTGAAAAAGATTCTGATCACCAATAATTTCGATCTGATATACACAAATTTCGAAATGAGTACACTACAGGACTGTTTTTGGTAGCGATGATGAAGTTTTTAGTAGATACTCAAGTTAGTTTCTACAACAGAGAAATTCTTGTTCTTTCCAAATATAATGAGTGATTTTGCAACACTGGTGTCTTCTATTATGAATCTAAAGAACACTAAATTAACTAGTACATACTGTATAAAGTGACAATTGAGTTTCTGGAAAAAAAACAGTTGAATTTACCGTTTACCAACTTCAACTTAATGAATTAATAATTTTCCAGTTTTTATTAAATTTCCAATCATTTGAAAAAATCAAGAGGATATCATGGCACTTTGAACATGTGAACCTTTAAGTGTTAAAGGAACTAATTGTCACCTAGATACTGAATCGTGCAGGAAAACGAAATATCACATATTTGGTTGGTTTTGCTTTTATCTATAGAGTCGAACTGTGGGGATTTCAACAACTGCTGCGAGTAATATGAAGCTGTTTATACTATCTGTCTCAAAATACAGTGAAGTTTCGAGCAATGCAAACATCTAAAATACGAAAAATAACATTGTTCTAGAATTATCAGGTTAACTATGAAGTTTTTTAAATTTTCGGTGAAAACAAACAATACCACGAACTCGACTCAGTCTAGTCGATAATTCACGTTGTATTCAGCGTTGAGGTTCTTATCAATTGAGAAAAATCGAACCTGATGACAAATTTGATTATCTACCTATGAGAAATGTTATATGTTAATCAAAAAAGAATGTAATCGTTTTCGTTAGATCAGCTCGTACGTGCTCAGAGAAACTAGTGTTATATTTCATACAAAAACTCAGAATCACTGTGACATTTTAATTGACTGTTAGTTTCACTTAATAGTTTTTTCCGTTGGTAAAATGAGATTGTCAAATCTTTCTTCAAGAAAGGAAACAGATTATCAGTTAGAAACCACCGTCCTACTCTTAGCTGCTAGTAAAGTCATGAAACGGATAGTTTCCATCAGAGTAGTATCACATTTGAACATTAATGTCTTTAATAAAGCACAATTCGGATTTTGGCTTAAATCTTCAATTGAGGGCACTTTGGTTTACTGAACGTATCATATTCCTATATCACCGATGGATAAAGAGCTTAACATCAAACTGGCCTTGATACAATTAGAATGAAATAAATAAGAAACACTTCGTATCGATAAATCTTAGTCAGGCGGTAAAGAATGCAACTGGCTCATCTTTCATCGATGTATTATCTTTCTCGCAACATCAGCAGTCAAGTCAGGTGGTCCTTCTAGTGAGAATGAATGAATTTAAGCTGTTAATACTACAGTGGACATCGCTATCACTTTCGAAAAACTAAGTTATGCTAAAATTGTTCGAAGCTATTCGCAAAACGTTTCGAGACCCACCATTAAAATTAAAAAAACATTTAAATTAATTAAAAAAACTTTAGTTAAACTTATAGAACAACTCTATACAGATAAAACATATTTTGAAACATTAAATGCTCAGAGATTAGCCTCATATATTGTAACTGCAATATTGTAAAGAATGCGAAAAGCATGCTAAACATTTTTTGCAAAAAAATCGTTAGCGTTAAAATTTGTGTGCATTATTTTCAGTCTATTTTCATGAACTGACCATAGTTAACAACAACCTCAGCGAAGTTTTGAATTCCATATTTTATTTTATTTATGATATTTTTTCTTAAATATGACATCATATTTAAACAACAGTTCTTCGTTCTTTGAACGAAACGAATTTTGTAGAATTTCTAGAAAATTATTTACTGTTTCTATCAAACAAAGTTAGTGTTGATTATTAATTCAACATTATAAAAACTAAAAAATATCATTTTTTTCCTATATTGTCAACGTATGAAAATTACACGGTATAAATAGAACATAACTTTCATCATCCTTCCAAAGTCGATTTTGGTAATACATACAAATGATAAAGTTGTTCAGGGTACTGAACTGTCTATATGAAAATCACGAAAAACAGATCAACATTCTACTCCAAAGTCTCGTCTTAACTTTTCAAATAATAAAACGTCAAAAATTTAACAGTTTAAGATCAGGGCAATTCTGACATCAAACAAACAAGTTAAACTTTTCGTATTCATCAAAATGTCATCTGTCTGTTATAAAATTTTCGAGAATCAATAACTATCGTTCCATACCGAAAGGATATAATCGCAATAAAGTGCACCAAATGAACTTCAACGGTAAAAACGCACTACGAAACTATGACCGTTGATTCTAGACGATTTTTTAATTCATTTAGATTGAAATCAAATGACACTTCACTCTGAAGATCAAACTCGCCATTGTAAAACTGCGTTCGAAAAATCTTATTTTGTCTCAAATTATTGCGCTTTTTTGCGTAACCACGCGATGAGAAAAGATAGCTATTGAATGATCGTCTATCAATTACTTATTCCCACAAACATCATGGTGAATAAATGATATTTTAGCGAGTAGGAAACGTTGAACGAGTGATGAAGAACTCGATCTATCTACTCGTATAATTCTGTTTTAATCTGATTATAAAAGACTGGAATAGTATATATATATATATACATTTTATATCTCATTTCATATAGCTCTGTAGCATTACACTAACATCGAAATATCAACAAGATCGTATCTACTTACCTTAATGACTTCTAAAATGGTACTATTGATTATAAATGATAGTATTTTTATTTTGCAAAAAGAATGAAAAAATAGTTAATCAACATTCGTCAAGGTGTATGATGTTGTCAAATTTGTGCAATTAATGTGATGTTGTTAACAAATAAAAAAATGTATCTAGGTTAAATTCATTGGATGTTTTGTTTTCACCACTTTCAAACATTGTTCAACAAATGACTAAGCCGGATTAATTTTTTGTGTGTACTCAAGATTCATTCTTTCGATTGTTATTTAAGCACATAGAACAAATTAGTATATATGGTCGAGTCTAACATATAACGAGCATAACCGTGTCGTATCTTTTGTTCAAAGTGTTTTAAATCAATTATTTTTTTAACATGTTTTATCAATTAAAATGGTTGTTTGTCAATCCATGAGAACAAATAGTTTTTTCAAAACTGTTTACATTGTGGCTGTATTTATGTCTGTTTTTACCTGTTGTAATTCCCATGGACGGTTGCTGGATCCCCCAGGACGAGGTAAAAAGTAAAATTTATTAAAATAGAAAATGTAATTTGATATTACGTAGACTCAAAACATATAATTATGATTCTTGATTGTAGGTTCAATGTGGCGAATGGGATTTGACGTACCACCGAATTACAATGATAATTCAAACTATTGTGGTGGAATGCAAAATCAATGGAAAAGACAAAATGGGAAATGTGGTGTGTGCGGTGATCCATGGCAAGGTCCAAAAGAACATGAGAAAGGCGGAAAATATGCGACCGGCATTATAGGTCGTACCTATGAAACAGGTTCTGTTATAAATACAACATTGGATATAACAGCAAATCATTTGGGATTTTTTGAATTTCGTCTTTGTCCATTACTTAATCGTCGTTCACGTTTAACACACGAGTGTCTTGATCAATATCTACTGAATATTGGAGACGATTTATCATCGACAACTTACTATTTACCACATGGAAATAAATCATATTTTTATGTTCCTGTTCAATTACCAGAAAATTTGACATGCAAACATTGCGTGCTTCAATGGAAATATCATGCTGGGAATACGTGGGGTAAGGATAAATTTGGACGAAAATGTTTAGGATGTGCAGATCAACAAGAAGAATTCTACAAGTAAGAGTACTACATTCATTGCATTAAAAATGTGTTCAATAATTAAATTCATCTCTTTAGTTGTGCTGACATAGCTATCGTCGAACCAATATCAATCAATTTTATTCCTTCGATAAAAGATGAAAATAGTACAATGAAAAACAATGCCTTGTTACTGTTAAATATAAATAGGACAAAGCACAAATTTATTTTATTTATATTCATCTATTTGATCAGTTTTTTCTTCCTATTTTCACCATTATAATCCGTTCATTTAATTTTTAAGAATTTTAGCGGAAGACAATCTGAATGCTTATATATGTCTACACTCTTACAAGTTCATTCGCACAAGATTGTATCTAGACTTTATTTTGATATCTAAAATAATAACTGAACGTTAACTGATCTCTCTTTAAAAAATATATTAAAATGATGAGTTGGAATTCGAAAATAAGATGAGAGAGTCTTTTAGAATTATCTGAAATCATTGTCCGACTTTGAAAACTAACAATCATATACAAAAGATAAAATAGAATTGAAGAACGTTGTTACATCACACACGTACGTGTACAAAAAAAGGAAAAATATGGAAAATAGTTAAATTTAATTTAATCATTAATCTTCTCCAACCGGTAATGCATCTTCTAAAAGTTTAACAAATTTAATTCTCAATTCTGTTATACTATCACCTTTCAATTGATCTTGTACAAATCGACATTCAACTTCTTGTTGTACCTAAAACATAAATATTACAATGTGAAATATAAGATCATCAGTTCAACTGGTCTGTCATACCATTTCTAATGCGCCACGTATTGCACCACATATCATTTGATTATAATTTAATTTTGAACATTGTTCAGGTAATTCAACAAATTCGGTTAATGGGTTACCATCCAGTAAGAGAGAAAATTCATCACCTGCTATACTCCAATTAGAAATAGTTGGTACAATACCCAAATAAGTTTTAAATCCTTGCTAAAATTTATTAGAACAGATAGAAACCGTTTTACGATGATACCAATTGTATTCTCATATTAATTACCTTTGCAATTACGTCGGCTGTCTCTCGGAAATCATTGCAACGTCCAATATTAGGATTTCTGGCTAGAAAATCATCGATTATCCGAACACCAATACTGTAACCACTAGGAAAAAAAGTAAAAATATATTACATGTAAAAAGAAGATTTTTACCACCACTTCTCACATTTTATCCAACTGTTTGTTTATGTCGTCAGCATTTTCATAATCATTGAGAAGTTGTGCAACAAATGCTCCATATGTTAATGTAAATAACTCCTGCGCCTAAATTTTCCACATAAATAAAGATGAACACAGTCTAAATTCAAAAAGTATGATCACATCACTACCTACAACACGTCGTGTATCAATATTTTTAACATTTGGTCTATTCATCTAGAAACAAAATATAAACATTATAATTGAATATTAATGTGTTATTTTCTTGATGAACAAAATCTTTCATTAGTATATGGATAAAATAGTTGAAATTTATAGTAAAATAAGACATAAATAGTTCAAAACTCGCTTCTCAAACTATACATCGTCTAAGCCATCATTTACACATATTCTTTTATAGTAAAAAAAAATTATTTTTTAAGAAAATTCTTTATTGAAAACAAAATAAATTAAAAAAATAGACTGTATTATTCTCTTGATCTTTAAAAAATAAAGTGTTATACAAAAAATAAATTCGAACAGTTTAAAAATTTCTATGTCTGACAAGTTTTGATTTTTAAAAATAAAAGATTCTGTTATGTGTAACTATCACGTTCATAACTTCTGAGTAAATATAATAAATATTTCTTACAGAGTAAAAAAACAATTTGTAGTAAAAAGTGTTCATTCATTGAAAACCATTCTGAGAGTATTTTTTAATGAAAACAATCAAACAATTGTAAAAGAATGAACACAGACTTAATAAGAATTTGTTCACATTATTTTGTACTTCTTCAAAAAAAGTTTTTCTTTCTCTATTTTGGGTGTAAACTGTCTCTTAAAAATGTTTGCATAAGTTAAGCATTAGCTCAAAGATAAACTTATTTTAGTTTTTTGACTTTTTTTAACTTGAGTATTCGTTAAATTATTTATCCATACCTTAAAAAATTATTAGATATGGTACTGCTATTTCAAAGCAAAAAAGAATCGTACTTGCAAGTTAGCTATGAAAAAAAAAAGAGAAGATAAATGCAAAATGACAAAGAAATGGAGTGTAATAGTACAAAAGAAAAAAGAGAAAGTTATTGTTAATTTGTCATTTTGTTGACTACTAATCTAACATTTCATTCTCAATTTTTGTCAATGCACTACTTGTACTTAATGATAAATCGTGTGCAATATGCGGTGCTTGTTCTAATTCATACGAAACTTCTTTTAATTTATTATTCATTGTTCGTCGAATATCCGTAAACTCTTTTGCCATTTGTCTATTTGACTCTAATAAGTCATGTAATTTATTTTGTATCTTTTCATTATGTGATTCAATTTTGTCCATTGCTTTTTCAATATCATTCAATGCTGTTTCAAGTTCAAGTAACTCTGAAAATGATTTACAAACATTAATACAGGTAACAGAGGTTGATAAAATACGTACCAGAATCATCGTCTACATTTTTTGTACTATCATCACTGCCAGATCCATTTAGCTGATGAGAACGTTGATGATTATGATAATCAGCTGACGTCATCTAATTTTACAAAAAATTTTATCTAAAACAAAAATATGAAACTCTAAAACTCACTCGCTTATATTCAACAAGAAGAGCAGAGCTTCTTCAAACAATTATAATATTCAATAATAACAAAATCAAAAATTTATTTCGATACATGATAAAGATCAGGGGCCTGTTTCTTAAAAAAACTTCAGTAGAAAATCTGACTTAAGTCAAACTTAAGTCCAAAAAAGTCTTTGTCTTTTTTGACTTAAGTAAGATTTTCTACTTAAGTTTTTTTAAGAAACAGGCCCCAGAAAACAGTAACAGAAGAATCTCATTCCAGTTTTGTTCTGGTGCTTTACAGATAATATAATAATTAGTAAACTAAAATCAATAGAGTAAACCATCTTATCAGAAAATATTCATTTGACTCTAGAAACGAACGTGATGTATCATTTCAAGTGTCGATTAGTCGATCAAGAGAATTTAGCAATACTTTCTGTTGGAACCGCTGTAATGTTCATGTAAGTTCCCTAAAAGTCCAACAGTCTATTTTGTTATAATTTCTGAAAAATTTCCCAAGAGAAGGAACGTTAATAAAAGGCCGAGAGTCTATTTTTGAATTAATCTTTATTTGCTGATTAATTATTTTCTTAAAAAGTAAAATTTAAATAGTACAAAAGTATCATACTTCAAAAACAAAGAAACTCGAGAATGGAGTAATCCTTTTGAAAACGTACCACATTTACTTTATCCGAATCGTTAAATATTAACAGGACTAGTGTGACTCGAACTTCTGATGACGAATATCGGTTTCTGAAACAGGCTTTAGTCTGGATCAACTTTTTCTTTGGAAGTACCCAGCCAAAGAAGACAAAGAAGAAAATCTGTTTTTCTGATAGCCCACGTCGCCTACTAAAATGTAAGTCAGCCCTTGCTCTATAATTTCGTGGAATGGCGCAGCACGTGCTCAAATTTTGGAAAGCGAGGAATATAGCCTTTAAAAGTTAGCTGTTTTCTATGATTAAACGTTTTGAAAGTTCATTAAGAACAACTTCATCGGGTGGAAAAGATGCTTCGAATGCATATCTTACTGACTTGATTTCGTCATGGAAATGAAGTTTACAAAACAAGCCTGTTGTTCGAAAAAAGCGATCTTTTTAAAAATGTTCCTAAAGCTCTCCTTAACGTCCCATTGCTTAGCCGTTTTTTCCTTAAGGTTAATCGGGCAGCATTTCTGTTACTACACAAACTACAACAACAATGAATCGCTTCTATCTAATCGCAGCGTATCTTGTATAGAAACGAACTTGCATTTCCACTGTAGCTTATACTACTTTTGGAATTAGCACATGTTCTGCTAAAATACATCAGGTAAAAGTTAGGAGCTTCACAGTCAATACAACGCTTAGTTTCAATTTTTAACGCTGATTGTAACGATTTATTCACAGCGTTTCCTCATAACTTATCTTAATCCGCACGGTATTAGATTATCTACGTTTAGTTTTCTCGACAAGGCAAAAACAGGCTGAATAAATCATATTCTTGATATTGATATATGTCAGTGCTTCGATTGATATAACAGGTACGTAGAGAGACCTTAGATGATACCTTCTGGTTGAATCTGTAAGCGAACGTATCTTAATACGTCCGAATGTGAATCATTCAATAATAGTCATCATATTCAGAAATAAAACGGTATATTATACTATCCATCATCACTCTCAAACCTGGCGATGCACGTCTGATATTTTATTCGTACAGTGGCCCAAGCCAATCAAACTAATATTGCTATGGAAACAGCCAATCAAAAATGTTTCACACATTGGGTCGCATGCTTCAAACAACTGATACGCTTCAATTTGTTTTGATTCCATGTATGAACCGGTGAACATTCATTTGAAGCGTCGGTCTTCCATGGATGAAACGTATGAAAAAAGTGTATGAACCATGCGATCTAATGACAATCGAATTAGCCGTATAATCATACCATACGACTGATCCGTGTATTCTACTCGATCAACTCCAATAAATAGTGGAGAATTAGCGACAATAAGTGCATTCACACGTTTGGTAACCATGTGATTGAGCAGTACAGCTCGACGACACGTGTACATTTTTGAGAGTGGAAGAGACATTTTTTGTTGTTTTCTTTTAGTTCCAAATAGATGCTTTCATTAAGAGCTAAAGGGAAATATGAAAAAATTCTATCTTCAAACGAGAAAAATGTGAAAAAGCTCAAAGATGGCTGTGGAAATTTGAAATTTTGGGGATAATGACGCTTCATCCGAAGTGAAGTATTTTATTTCTTCAAGTGTGGCCCACTTTCTGCGAAATATAGGAGTTGAAACTGATTATAGGATGCCTCTAAATTAATAAAGATTTTGCGCAACGATTCATTTGCAACTTTGTGGCTTTACTACTTGATATAGAAGGAATTTTTTTCTGGAGTGGAGCAGTCCACATTAGTATAATCAAATATCAGAGTGGATTTATCTACGTTGCTTTGAAACAAAGTGGATACAGTACACTTAAATTAGCATTTACTGTTGCTCAACTGCCATACTTTAGCACTTTAATTTCTGAGAACTAAAAGGCCCGTCTTTTTTCTCTTTGTCGGTACCAGGAGAGTGGAAAAACAGGAATTTGACTTTGTTTTGCATGATGTCTGCTGTATGTTGGTTCATATCGACTATAAAATAAACTTTCAAACTGATTTGCAAACGAATAATTAACAATTCACAGTTGATGAGAAAAGAATGAACCTGTTGATTTTGCTGTTTTATGGCTTTAATCTTTAACTCACTATATTTTTATTAGATTATTAAGGGAAACTTGGTCGAATACAAGTAATACACATTTATTACTTTCTGTACTTTGGACACAACATTTTTGGGCATCGTCCTCACTTAAGTTTGTAAGATTTTCGTCATTCACCTCTATTATATGATCGTTGACTTTAATATCAGACTCGGCTGCTCTAATCACTTACCATATCTCTGATTATTTGTGCTTTTTTTTAAGCTCAAGAGCCGCACCGTCTGATCAAGTTCTGTATTAGTATACGATAAATAAGTTAGAAAAAGTATGCTGCAGCTCGCTAATCGATAACCTTTTTATGTTTTGATCCATTGGATATGGTACTACTATTTCAAAACAAAAAAGAATCGTACTTGTAAGTTAGCTATGAAAAAAAAAGAGAAGATTGTTTTGATTGTTGTATATGGAGCCAAAGAGTACTATTATAGTTTTTATACTATATTCTACCATGCATCAAAAGCACTGTTTATGATTAATGGCAATATCTGTATTGGTGGTTAGCTCTTATTTATATTTCATACGTGTCATACGTTGCGCTTCTTATTGATAAAATTTGCATAGTTGAAGGAGAAATTTAATGTTCAAAAAAACTAAATTTTCTAACAGTTTTATTTTGAGTACGACGCATGGCGTCAAATTTTTGAAAAACCAATTCAGAATGATTTATATGATAAAATTTCTAGAATATTGCCAATCATCCAGACAAAAATGCGATAATTAATGCGTATTGCTGGAATCAAGTTACGTATCATATTTCAATAAATACTTCGTTAAACTCAACGAGAATATCCACGTTAGTATGACATAAAAGACCTTATTTTTTACTATCTTCACTCAAAACTTTATAACTCACTCAGTATCGGTTCAGAGCAGTTCACAATACACGCTACTTCCACTGCATTACGCGCTGATATACTTGCAGATACACAGTAGATTCGAAGAAAATGTCAGAAATTTCACACAGTTATTTCTGAAAACTTCGAAAGACCACATAAATTATTTTACTTGAAAAATTAAGATATCAATTGTAATTTTTCTTTATTCAAATCTTATTTTTTAGATGTTTCGATTTAATTTTGTAAGCGGATTCCAAATATCAAATATATTTTAATTAAAAACAGATTTTAACCGAATAGAAATGGATTTTATATTGAAAACCTATTGTAAGGGTCAGAAGAATTTGCACATCGTGTTTTGATATAGTAGACATGGAAAAATATTTGGGCAATGTTTAACTGAGATCGACTGCGCAGGAACTCATTAAACCAGACTATTATTTTAATAAAAACGTTACCATGAAAAATAGTTTTCTCTTTAATTTTTTTCCGAGAGAAACTCAAGAAGTTTTCTCATCAATGCGTTATCGGAGGGCTTCGGATTCAAGAATACGAGCTTTTAGGAGGCTGCGTTTTATTTAGATTATCAGCAACGGTGCAGAATCTACCCGTGAGATTAACAAATTTCCCCGACGGTAAAACATTATAATAAAATTTTCCCGATATGAAGCAAAAGTAGAAACAAAACAATGCGATTTTATTGTTGCTAAAGCTACTGTTTCTGTTTAATCACACATGTCTGATTTTGATATTTTCGTATAATTCTTTGTTTTTCCATCCCAACAAAATTTCCCCAAAAAATATTTTTTTCCCCCGATGGCCGTTGGCGCAAACAGGTAGATTCTGCACCTCTGATTATCACATTAAACTTCTTCCCAGATCCAAGGATTAGATAACAAGACCTTGGAAGATCTTACAAGATCATATACGATCTTGGGTGATCGTATAATAAGAAATCATAAGATTTCAAAAGATCTTATCAATTCTTATCAATTTTCTATAAGATCTTAC